TGTCCTTTTGGAGCTGAGAGAACATGTGTACTATAAAACCAAGGAACTCTCTTCCATCCTTTTACTTGTTGAGGATATTTCAACAAAACTGCAGCAAATGCAACAAGTTAATTACTTTGCTTATAAAAAGAACTGAAAGTTTGATAGATATCGTAGGTGAAGGCTTAATGGTATATAGCAAGAGAAAGAAAAAGTCTGCAGGTTTACATAACAAGGGCCGCCATTTTAGACCTCAGCTGATCTCTGTCTTACAAGTGTCACTGGTCCACTAATCAGATATCAGATCAATAAACTTCAAAACATCTATCGCACGACTGCAAAATAAATTCTCATTCAGATCTTGAGTTCAACGGGCTTGAGCTAGCTATTACAAAACTGAGTCTTCCATTCTAACCAAAAACTTACTAATGCTTTACATTTGCAGTTACTTTCACTGAGAAAAGTGTTTCAGAAGATAAAGGAAAGTGGTTTATTAATGCATTAGAGGAATAATTTTTTGACTTCATCTTATTCTAGCACTTTACTTTGAAGTTTGATTGTACAAGGTAAATGCAGTGGCAATGTCTTTGACGGGTTCAGTCTCGAGCTCAAAGTAGGACTAGGCAAACGTTTCGGACCACTTTCTCTCACCACCGAACAAGCATGCACCACATGTTGCATGCCTAGAAGCAGTTTGATATTACACGCGGGTATGAGAAGTTTTCATCCCACGTGATTATTACATTACATTTAAGCACTGGTATATATTGCAGTTCAAGAAAGCCTGACAAAACAATTCCCAACAGACACTCATGCCCACTTCGCAGTTTTTCTTGTCGCTCTATCTATCCATTTAACCTTGCACTCTCCTCCCTTCCTCTCCTCTTTTCCTCCCTTTACTCGCCCTTTCCCGGGCCTTCCCAAGCATTCTACCCTTCCTCCCCTCCCACATTACCCATGAAGGGCTCCCATTCCCTCCCACATGTCAACAAATGCAAATATTTATCATTTTAGTAAACACTTTCGACAACAGTTGTGAACAACTGAAGGGCTTACCGAAAAGGAGGATGAAACTCCACTTAGCCATTGAGGGTACCATCATGACGTGTTTCAGTTTGTTTTCTGCAGAAGAAAAGTTAATGTCTCAATTTGTTTCTTTCGTCAAAAGTGGTTAGTAAATTAAATCTTTTCGAAGCAGCTCGATGTTTTATACACAAGTTTCTGGAGTGAACTCTTAAGGTTTTAATGAATTTGTCTCCATCGGCTACAGAACAAACGTATCCTTCGAAGTGAAACAGAAAAAACCTCAGACTTTCTTGGCACTTGCTGGAAAGTTGAATTTAAAAAAAGATAGTCACTGTTTAACTCTGCTGAAAATTAAGATATTGTTTTGCCATTGCTAATCAACAATACTTTTCATAACCTGCATTAAGCAATCGAAAGAAAAAAAACTCCTTTTTGTCCTAGAACATTCTCCTTTGTAATTTAGAATAATAAAAAGAAGATTGCGTTAGTTGCCTTATGACTCATGAGAAAAAAATTACTTCAAAACTAATAAATACAGCCACCCAGGAACTTTACCCATTGTTCAGTCATGCACAGCTAAAATTCATGTACTCTAAAAGTGGCAATGTATGTTAAGACCTGGTAAAAGGAGAGGAGTAACTTTGTCGTCTTGTCTGATAACTACTGTTCACACTTCGTAGAACATTTGAATATTGTGACAAAAATTTTGGTTTATTCTCAAATCATAAACCTGATATTCAACTTTACATTAAACTTTTAGATAGGTTTAACTCCCGAAAAATTTCGATTCGTTCCTGCATCTTACACATTGATAAATTTTTTTCAACATTTCTGTGCGTGTTATTCACAAGAGGGAAAAATTATGTAAAACAGGGAAAAAATTTAACAGTTTATTTAATAATACTGTTGTCATGGATTGAGCAGATATTCTGATGCATCAAAAATGGACAATTTCATATAAAACCGAGCTAATTCTATTGAAGCATTATCTTAGTGAGAATGGAGGCATCAGTTTTTAGCCAATGAGTTGCATTTCATAACAACGGACCTTTGAGCTATGGCAAAAGAGACTGAAATGAAAAAAAAAACGTTTATTTTCCTTTTAATCGAAATGAGGCGACAGCGTTTTCCCTCGAATGACTAAAAATTTAATTTTTTTATCGTAGTGTTAGCGTAGTCTCCGACTTGAAAGTTGGAGACTGCGCTAAGATCTCAGTTAGTACGACCAAAGGACGTTGTCGACCCGGCTAAACAAGATGGTGTAGTTTACAGGATTTCCTGTGAATGCGGCAAGGTGTACATCGGAGAGACTGGAAGACCTATTCAAGACAGAATTAAGCAGCACGATCGAGACATCCGACTCGCCCGTACCGAGACCTCCGCCGTTTCAGAGCATGCCCACAACACCGGACACAAGCCACTCTGGAACGACGTAAAGTTTATTGATCGTGACCCTTATTACTACACGCACAGAGTCAAAGACCTAATTCATATAAGACTTCACCCTAACAAAATAAAAAAAAAACAGCTAATCACAGCAAAGCATCATGCTTTATAAGATCACGCATGACCAGTCGACCTCATCGCCTGAAGAAGACTAACAGTATGCAGTCGAAACGTCGCGATCTACATCAAACGTGACAACATCGTGAGACAAATGAAAAATTTGGCTTTTATTGTTGTTCACCACGATGAATAACCACCACTTTTTTTACGAAATTGACCGACATTTATTTCTCCTGAATTCTAAAAGATGTGCGTGATTAGAATTGACGCTTTATCTTCAAAATTTACATTATTAACGACACTAATTTCTAATTCTCTGGTCGATTAAACACGTCATTAGGGACCAAGGTTAAAAAAAATTCCCTTCTCTTTCAAATGCCTTTTTGAGTAATGAATCATATGATGAACTTCGTTTTTCCCACTTCCCTCTTCCCTGAGAAAGCGTCGGTATGGTTGGGAGAATTAAGAATTTATTGTTTGGAAGTAAACAGTTATAAACTAAAATAGTTATTTAAATACTAAAAGTTATCGAAACTCTAGTAGTTTTTATATCTTCCTAAAGAGCATGTAAACAAACTATGTTTTCCTTTTTCCTTTTTTTTCCTTATTTTAGTTCCTTTTAATTTCATTGATGCTGACGAAAGAAATGCTAACGTCGACAAAAAAAAAATTGAAAATTAGTAATTTTTAGAACCCGCATCATCCGCAAGCCGACTGCTTCTTGTCTCCAACTCAGTTTTCATTTGACTTTCAAATTTTTGGGTTTACAAACTGATCGCCAATTTTTCCTTTTTTGTT